GAACACGTCCGGTATTGCCAGACCAGCAAGAAATCAATTAGCTCTTTTGTCTCTCAAATACTCAAAACTCACATGGGTTGGCTTAAGCACTTATGAAACATTATCTATCAACATGATGCATCCCTCTTAATAGTACGTCATTCCTATTAACTTAATCTTAAAAGTATAACAAAATTAAACCTTTTGAGTTGATCTCTTTCAGCCGAAGCCGTGTATTCAAATCTTCATCAAGTGAGGGTGCCAACATGTTGATATTGATCTTTTTCACTTGAGCATAGCCATCTTGAGCATGTGACTTGATTCCATTCATCAAATATGAATAATACCAAATGCATCAAGTCACTTCAAATACTTTTGTCCAATATAGATTTGATTCTCCACATCAATATGACCATCGTAGCTTGATTAGTACCTCAACTAAATGCAAGTACTTCCTTCTTCACCCTAGCTAGGTTCTTCGGCTGCCAAGCCACCGCTTGCCCTTCACCCTTGCTTAGTACCTCGAAGCCTTTCCTTGCTATCTTCATCATCTCAAGCCATCAAGTCACATCTTGTGTTGAATCATCCATTCACTTGTATTGTTATATTTTTCATTTTAATTTAGCAAGCTTCAAATAAGAGACCATTCCATATGCAATCCCTCATGTCTTATTAATTAATTCTTACGAGCTTGCTTTCACATAGTACAAGGAAATCCCACAATAAATAAGCCTTTGTATGAATTCTATTTGTATTGTTGTCTTATGTTTGAACTAGATTGTTTATACAACAACATATCATTTTGGCTTTCATTAAGTACCGGTGAGATAACCTATTACCTGTCCACACTTAGCAAATGGGTTAGACCTTTAATCACGTTGTCATTCAATCATCCAAAACCTACTAAAGGGCTAGATGTACTTTCAACGGCCCTGTCCTCGGCTTCTCCCTACACATGCATGCAGCCCCGCGCTCTGCGTTATGGGTGGTCGGCAGTGGCTCCTCGGTTACGTTTGTCTTCCTACACGTGCACGAGCCCAAGCGCTCTGCGTTATGGACTTCGGGCTGGCCGGGGTTGGGAGCTCAATGATGAACTAACTGGTCGGGCCGGTTTATATAAAATATGAACAAACCCCAATGTTTATTTACTCCGCTCTACTATCTTTATCGCTGAGTTCATATATTTTATCTGTACATCATATACTACCCGTTCTCCGTATTTGTTTTACAGGGGCTGGTTCGGTTGTCGAGCTCATCTCTTACGCTCGGGGACTGGATCACCCGGGAAGGCCACAAGGATCATCGTTCAGGTGGTCGCACCATCTGGCATTTGGGCTACTTCGCACCGATTAGCTGCTCAGACTCCTCGACGCTTACTTCGCCACCAATCAGTTGCTCGGACTACTCGGCGCCTCATCGCCAATCAGTTGCTCGGACTGCTCGGCGCTCACTTCACCGTTCGCCGCTCACTGCACCGTTCGTCACTTACTTCTGTTCTGTGAAGACCGATGCATTTCAGTCAAGTATGTCTCAGTCGCCCACCCTAAAGTCAATGGCCAGGTCGAACGGGCAAACGTCATGATTTTAGATGCCCTCAAAAAGAGACTGTACTAGAAGACTGAAGCAATGCACATGCTCTTCATCGCCGACCAGCGCTCGCCGGCTGAGCTGGGGACTCGCTTCATCGCCGACCCGGCCTTCGCCGTGGTGGTGGGACTTCGCTTCATCATCGACCGACCGGCGCTTTCGCCATTTGGCTGGGACTCGCTTCATCGCCGACCAACGCCCGCCAGTTGAGCTGGGGACTCGCTTCATCGCCGACCAGCGCCCGCCGGCTGAGTTGGGGACTCGCTTCATCGCCGACCAACGCCCGCCAGCTGAGCTGGGGACTCGCTTCATCGCCGACCAGTGCCCGTCAACTGAGCTGGGGACTCGCTTCATCGCCGACCAGTGCCCGCCAGCTAAGCTGGGGACTCGCTTCATCGCCGACCAGTGCCCGCCAGCTAAGCTAGATACTCCCTTGGTGGTCAAATTTTACCACGTCTTCGCTTCACTTCGATTAAAGCTGGTGTGCTATCAAGTTGCTCCATGTTGTTCGGATCAGGGTGCTGATCCTGGGCAGCACGTTGGGGACCTTGATAAGTACATTTCAGATTTACTTTCTTTGACCCTGCTACAAGATTCATTCTTCATCTTCTAGCAGGCTCGGGGACTAAGTGACTATGACTTACCCTTCTTATCGACTAAGGAGACTAAGTGGCCATACTTCACCTAAGGTGGAGAATTTTTAAATTTTATCTTGAGCCCCTTACATCCTTCTGGCAAGCCTTACTTGGTGAAGTCCGAGGTCTGCCGGTCAGCTAAACAGCTCGGCAGCTGTCTCCATAGCTCGGCTGGGTGATTAAGCTGGTCGGCAGGCATTTTCACCGCCCAAGTCACCAGCCGAGCTGGTCGGCTTTTATACTCGCCGCTTGGTTCGTCAACTAATGGAGGTCGGCTTCGCGACAAACTGCTCGGACTTGATTAAGATGGCGTCGCCAAATGATACAAGATGCTCGGGGACTAGTTGTGAGGGATATGACCCCTGGTACCCATAAGACAAGACATGGGCCGCGCCTCAAAGGTGGCCCAGCCCACAAGATCGAGGTGTACGGCGCACGGCTCAGCTCGGCGTGCACCGCTGTGATTTATTAGATATTGTACCAAATAGGATATTCACCTTGTAACCCTACCCCTCTAGAGTATATAAGGAGGGGCAGGGGTCTCCTAGAGAACATCCCAATAGCAGATTCAATATCAGATCCAATCTCATATGATAGCTAATACCAAACAACAGACCACAGGAGTAGGGTATTACGTCGTGCCGGTGGCCCGAACCTGTCTAACTCTTATGTCTCTGTTGTCATCTTGTTCTTGATCACGCGCACCTCCTCCGAATAATCTACCATCGTGGGTAGCCCATCGGTGGACTGCCGAGCATCTTTTATCGACAAATATGTAATTATAAATAATGTTATATTTTAAGTGTAAAACTATTACAGATTTTTAACAGGGTCCATTTCTTGGGGTCCTGGTAAGCATTATAGATGGCTGAACAGGTAGCCTGACTCTATCACTATTGGGGCATGATACTATTAGACACTGACTTATTTATGTCGTGTCGTGTCAAGCCATCGTGTCCAACCTCGGCCCAGATACAACCCTATAGGGACTAATCGTGTCGATGCGCACGACGACCTGAGTCGGCGGCGCACTGTCACTTCGCCGCAGGACGCAGCCACCCCATCACATGTCGCATCGTCGTCGTCATAGTTGCGCCTCGTGCAAGGTCACTGCCACTGAAAGAGAGGCAGGAAGCGACCTAGAGGAGAAGATGACATTGGGAGCAGGGAAGGAGTGTCCTAGGACTGGCGTCCGCTAGCCTAGGGAGCGAGAGGGTTGTACGGTCCAAACAATGCGATATTTTAAGTGTAAACATTCTAGATTTTTTTTTAAAAAAAATGGATCCATTTTCTAGGAGGGCCTAGTATACATTATAGATGGGCGAACAAGTGGCCTGACCTGACACTATTAGGCGCTCTACTATTATGCACTGTAACTTGCTCATGAAGTGTCGTGTTGAGTCGTCGTATACGCAACCCTCGGCCCAAGCATGACCTTGTAGGGACTAAGTCATGTCGATGGGCATAATTGCCCGAGTCTGCGACCCACTATCACCATCGCTGCAGGCTGCAGCCGCGCATCGTGCATGTCATCGTGCCGCCATCGTCATAGTCACGCCTCGCGCAAGGCCGCCGCCGAGAGAGAGAGAGAGAGGCATGAAGTGACCTAGAGGAGAAGATGATATAGGGAGAGGGAGTGTCATGAGACCGGCGGCCGTTGGACTAGGGAGAGAGAGGGTATTGTGGTCGGAAGCTGGAGGCAACCAAGAGAAATTCACGGCTAGGAAGGAGGAGAATGGGAGAAAATGAGGAGGAAGTTGGTTTTATATCCAGGTTTTCTGTCAAAAGCTACATCCAACGGTAAAAAATGTTGTAAGTCAATCCAATGATCGGGGATAATTTGGATGCCATCGTGCCAGCCCATTAGTGATGTCGTGCCCGTACCGCACTGTGGGCCAGAGTCACGGTCTAGACACGGGCCTATACCGGTGCTCGTGCTCGCACCAGCACTATGAACATCGTGCTATGCTGGACTCAGGTGTTCTTTTTAGGGCCGCGCTCATGCCGGTTCATCGGACCTGGCTCGTTAAGCCATCTATAGCACACCAAGAGTTTGTAAATATTCTTGTTGCTCGCGATTTGGCTGAGCAATCGTTTTTAAATATAAGGGCGTGAGAGCCTGTTTAAGTTCAAAAAAAAAAATCGCTGGCTGGCGTCTAGCTAATTGCTTCTTAGTACACGTGGCGCGTTTATTTTTCATCCTCAAAAGCGCTTGCCAGCCCGGACAGTGTTTCCCAAAGGGTCGAATTTGTACATTCTCTGTCCCAAAAAGAATTTGTTAATGACATTTTTCTTTGGGAGGGAGTGCACATCGAGTTACTACTCGGAACGGAAATTTATTTGGCGAGAGATTTGCTGGCCAGCACCCGGCCACTTTGTACGCATACAAAACGGTCAAAGACACGGAAGGCGATCTCAGCTACTCTACCAGTCTCCCTAGAAACAGCATGCTGCAGTCCGCTGTCTGCACGGCTGCCGGCAGCTGGATCTGGATCGCTTCATTTCGTTGACGCATGAGCTAGTAGTCAGCACTAGCAGACGCCACGCGCTCGATCTGCAGACTGAAACCAGCGGCCAACCAAACCAACCAACGGCCACGTCGGCGCCACGCGCTCGATCTGCAGACTGAAACCAGCGGCCGGCTTCCCCCTTCTCGTTGTGCGCGCCGATCGCAGCCGCACGCGGTGCTCCTGCATGCTCTGCCTCTGCTATAAAACGCGTCCCATCGCCACGATTATCCTCACGTCAAACTCCTGACCAACCCCGGCCACCCGCTCCGCGACGCGGCGCACGACGACGATGCACCTCGCCATGGCCCTCGCCCTCGCCCTCGCCCTCCTCCTCGTCGGCGGCGTTGTCGTCCGCTCGCAGCCGTTCGACTACCCGACGGCAAAGCCCTCGACGACGTGGGCCAACACGGACGCGTCCCTCCCGCACCACGTCACGTACGCAGACGGCTCCGTGGCGCGCGCGGCGCTGCTGCGCCTCAACCCGGCGGGGTACGGGCCCTCCTACGCCTTCGGCTTCTTCTGCACCAACCACCAGGCGCCGCCCTGCACCGAGTTCCTCCTCGGCGTGGCCGTCGTCTACTGCAACAGCGGCGGGCTCATGACCTCCGTCGTGGCGGGCATCCCGCAGGTGGTCTGGTCCGCCAACCGCGGCCGCCCCGTCGGGGAGGGCGCGTCCGCGGAGCTCACGGCCGCGGGCGACCTCGTGCTCCGCTCCGCCCCCGGTGGCGCCGTCGTGTGGTCCGCGGGCACCGCGGGGCGGTCCGTGGCCGGGATGGCCGTCGCCCGCGACGGCAATCTGGTGCTGATCGACGCGCGGAACGCCACGGTGTGGCAGTCGTTCGACCACCCCACCGACGCGCTGCTCGTCGGGCAGTCGCTGCGCCCCGGCGCGCGCCTCGTCGCCAACTCCTCCGCCGCTGACTGGTCCGCGAGCCGGCTCTACCTGACCGTCGCCGACGACAGCCTCAGCGCCTACGTCGACGCCAAGCCGCCGCAGCGATACTACCACCTGGGATTCAGCAAGGTCACCGGCGCCTACGCGACGTACGCCAACGGCAGCCTCGCGGTGTTCGATCCGGCGGCGGCGCCTGCTGCTTCCACGCCGCTGGCAACCATCCAGCTCCCCGCCGTCGGCGGCGGGACGGTGCAGTACATGCGGCTGGAGCACGACGGGCACCTCCGGCTGTACGAGTGGAATCCCGCGGGGTGGGCGCCGGTGTTCGACGTCCTGCGCCTCTTCCCGGACGACTGCGCGTTCCCGACGGTGTGCGGCGCGTACGGCGTGTGCACGGACATGCAGTGCAGCTGCCCCGACGCGGCCAACTTCCGGGCGGTGGACTTCCGGAGGCCCAACCGCGGCTGCGTCCCGACGGCGCCGGCGCTGGCTGCATGCGGCGGGCCGCCGGCAAGGCTGGTGTCGCTGCCCGGGCTGGCCTACTTCAACGACCCGGACACCAGCCTGAGGGCGCTGGAGAGGGTGAGCGACGCCGCGTGCAGGAAGGCGTGCCTGGATGAGTGCAGGTGCGCGGCGGCGCAGTTCGTGTACGGGGGCGACGCCGGCGACGGCTTCTGCTACCTGCAGTCGGAGGTGCTGTCGATGGAGACGTTGCGGCCGGAGGTGGTGCACTACAACTCCACCATGCATCTCAAGGTGCGGGCCACGCGTCGTCCGTCAGCCGGATTTTAGCTCGAGTGGAATGGACTGCTTTTGCCTTGGATTACATTACATACGTTTCCAGTCCAATACAAGACTTGTGATCGAGATATGACAGAATAAAGTCGTTTTTTTCCTGGAGCTATTATTATATTCTTAGTGCGAGTTGAAATTGACAACGAGCAGAAATGTGCATCAAAATTCAAATGCCAGCAGCAACTGTGACTGACATATTGAAATGGAAGCCAGCATTTCAGTGTGGTCTCATTAGCCCACCTGCTTACTTGCTTCGTGTTCCAGGCCCACATAGCCCACCTGTGAAACAAGCCCACATCCCTCGCTTGGGCCTTTCTATTCCCAAACAAAATCCCAACGTAGACGCAGGGCGCTGCAGCAGCCAGCAGGGCGGTTGAGGGCGGAGGCGGCCAGGTCGCTGGGCGGCTGGGCTGAGGCAGCGCGGGAGCCGCAACTGACGAGGGCTTTCCAACTCGGATCCAACGCCGTGTGGATCCGTGCTCTCCCTCCCGCCGCGCCGGAGGAGAGGGAGTGCCGGGCCGACGCCAGGACGCCGAGGAGATTGGAGGAGAAGAAAGGTGCGCAGACGCCGACAGCGGATGCTCACCGTCACTGACCTCTGCTCCGGTGAGATTGCGCCGCCTCTGTTTCCCTTTCTCCTCTCATGTGCGTCTGCCCCCGCGCGCGGGCCGATAGGATTTTACCCTCTATCCCCAGTCTTGGTGTGTGTGTTTTTCATCTGTAAATCCCGTCCGCCTCTGTTCATTCAAATGCACGTCTGTAGCTTGTGCTATATGGGGATTTTATTTACTAGCCTTAACTGAGATGAACGCTACCTTGATAAATGATAATTTCGGGATGGGATGAAGGCTACCTTGATATACCTATAGCCTTAGTAATATTCCAAAATTGCTGCAGAACACAGCTGAGCGGAAAGACTGTCAGACTTGCACTGCCAAGCTGCTGAAAAACTTAAGTCTGGGCACCTTTGCCTTGCAGGAGTCGTTACATCCGAATTCGAGTTTGGGTGTGATGTGTGAAGGGTTAGCTGCAACGTGACTTGCTAGACAAAAATCATTAAATCCGGTTCGGTCATTGCCTGTGCAGAATCTTGCATCTCGTAGCAATCTAGTTCATGACATCATGCATAGACGATTGTATCTTGCAGTGATGCTCGATTGCAATGAGCCACACTTGTTTTCTGCTTCCTTTCCTTGCTGTAGCATGCATATCTGATTTTTGTTCTATCAAAACCGAACAAAACATATGACCTTTGGACTCTGACATCGAGGCTAAAAGGACTTAATGCTGTCATTTTTCATTCAGGTGAAGTTGACTTTACGAAGTACATGCCACGGCAGGACAAAATTTCATAATGCTTTGGCAAACGAGTTGTAGGCTATGGCAACCCGTATCCTGTCGCGTCAAAATCTGAGAAAGTTGGCTTCATTCACTCTCCAGAATATATCCCAGAGGCAACTAATTTCACCTTACCCTCCAGCTCTCAGGTAATGAAACAGTTTCAATTCTTACCGATTTTGAGTCCTCAGTTGTATGCATATACGCCAAAGGAAAAAGAGAAACACCACATAAGCAAAATTTATGCCTAATTGCATGATCCCAACGTCCTGGGGCTTTTCAGGCCGCAACATGTTTTTTACCCTTTTCGATTAGACATAGAGGTTGCAACTGATTTTGCAATATGAAACCACAAAGCTATTACTCCAGTTATTCTGTAAGTAGCAAGTAGTCTCTTCTGCTGAGTTCTGGAACATATATCACGAGAGTTCACTGATTAAGTGTTACCCACCTAGTCAATCAAATTATTGTCTGAAGCTTACTAATCCAAGATGTGAGGCAAGGGTGTCATAATGGTTTTGATTCCTTTTTCATGCATGACTGTTTCATTTAGTTCTCCTTGTATTTTCCTTCTGTTTATTACAGATCTACTATTGCTTCTCCCAGCAAATTCCTCACCCCCCTTTACCTGTCTGGGCATTCATTGGCTGTGAGATGGGTAACCTATGGATCAGTGAATCTAGTTCTGTCTGATGATGGAAAGCCCAAGTTTCAAATTGAGGAGGTGGAGCCCTCCACAAAGAGAAGGTACTTGACAAAGAAGCGCTTGAAGGTTCAGAGGAAGAAGGAAAAGAAGAAGAGGAAGGAGGCAAATAAAAATGATCCACGGCGCATCAGGCCCAAGGGAAAGAAGATAAAACAAAAATTTCCCACACCTGAAGCTAGGCTCAAATATAAGATCGAGAAGGTAGTGTACATATACCATATTATATGGATTGGTCTGGTTTGCTTGGCTCATGTCTTGCTGATCCATTTCTTCATGCATATTGCTTGATGTATCTGTCAATAACATTATCAAAATAAGATTCCTAGTTATTATGCAGCATCTGAATCACCATTCTTGTTCTATCCTTACAGTCAGTTTTCTTACAGAACATGTCCAAATTGTTTTCTCTGCTCTAGTTTCTATGATATAATGTAGTGTAGTTCTTTGTATTAAAGTCCATTTAATTTCTTTGAACCCTAATTGAAAACTATATTATTTAATGAAGACAGTGTCATTTGTCCCTTTTATTTCTTTGGTTTCTTAGGAGAAAATAAATTGAAATGAGCCTTTTTCTCTTTCAGGCCAAACTAAAGGAAGCTAGGTTGGTCGAAAAACTAAAGAAGTATGAGATTGCCAAAGCTCAAGGCCCTATGGCTAAACCAGATGATCTTAGTGGCGAGGAAAGATTTTACTTGAAGAAGGTTTCACAGAAAAAATCAAATTATGTCCCTGTTGGAAGGCGAGGAGTGTTTGGAGGCGTAATTCTGAACATGCATTTGCATTGGAAAAAACATGAAACTGTGAAGGTCATATGTAAGCCCTGCAAACCAGGGCAGATCCAGGAATATGCAAATGAGATAGCCCGACTGAGTGGTGGTATCCCTGTCAACATCATTGGAGATGACACCATAGTCTTCTACCGAGGAAAGAACTATGTTCAGCCAGAAGTTATGTCACCTGTTGATACACTGTCAAAGAAAAAGGTAATTAGGATGTTTCTAGTTTATTTTTGTTGCTATGGAAACAACAAATCTTTGTTTATGGATGCTGCAAATGATTTTGTTTCCAAAGATATATTGGTCCAAAACTCTTTTGTCTTTATACCTCTTCACTAGTAGCTCTCGTTCAGAGCTGGCAAATTGTTTGTTTATTCTTGTTGGTTTCCCCCTCTAGTGTAACCCAACTCGCTTGACACTTAAAGGTTTTGCTGTTGCTGTAGATAGATTGATGCATGCTATCAAAATGCAATGGCTCTCTGCTCCCTTTATGTTTTATGACACAACAGATATGCACAGAACAATAAACTAGTAAAACTTGTTAAACCTTTTCATTGATTTAAATTCATGTATGCATCATACCTCCCGTATTCCCAGCTCGTGTAACCTAATGCACAGCTCAGGTTCTTGCAATCCTCTTGTCTTGATAATTAGCCATCATGCCGATTCTAGATCTGCATACATCTTTTAAATGCCCTTACATCTGCCCTTCTTTGATCATCAGGCACTTGAAAAATCAAAATATGAACAGTCGCTGGAGACAGTTCAGCGTTTCATTGCAATATCTGAAAAGGAGCTTGAACTTTATTATCGGCATGTTGCACTTTATGGAATTCCACAATCCCACAAAGCTGATCTTGTTTGTGGTGATGATAGAGAAGCTTCTTTGCTTAAAATGGGGGGATTGGATCAAGGGAAGGACCAAGAGCCTCATTTGGCTACCAATCAGTTTTCTGATCTTCACATCAGTGATGTTTCTGAATCTGATGAAGAAGATAGTTCCGGTAGTGAATATGATGTTAATAACAATGAGACTGAAAGCATGACCAGCATTTCTGAAGACGCCAGTGTTTCTGATCATGGCGGTTTAGCCAACTGGGGCGAAGTGTGATTACCTTGTCTCACATAATTACATTGTTGACTAGAAATTTGCCTTACCCCGAGCCACCTTATTATAATATAACATCGGTGTTCCTCGTCACTCAGTTTGAATGATATCAATGTAAGATTTTGCTGTACCGAATCGTCATATTATGCTGATTAGTGGTTACAGCTTTCTGTCCCTTGTGTTGTCAGCTATAATTAAGCTTATTTTTGTGGTCGTTTATCTTGAAAGGCTTGATGTATGCCAGTGCAACAAATTCAGCCTTATCTGTCATCTGTCACCAAATGCGGTGGTGTATCTTGCATATCCTTCTAAAAGTGCTCTCTCCTTGCTGTCAAAAGCTAAGTCAGTTTGGGAGCTGGGACCCATATGACAGCTGTGGAAAAGTATACATTACCAGCTACTGCGAAGAGATACTATATTGTACTGCTCAAGAAAGTATCCTCTGAGTTGGCCTCACTACTTGGCCACCAACACCTGATTAAGCAGTGAGGTGATTTCTGATTATATGAATAACAACCTTTGAAATCCAAGTCTTTCTCCTGAGGTGATTGGAGTGGTCACGGGGAGTAACTCGCACGATACTCCCACCTCTTTTTATCACAGCATCCTTGGAGAATTGCACAGGCCGTGACGTCACTTTCTGGAGGCTCTCCTTTTCTTCCCACAACGATCAATGATGTTGCTGGGTAGCATATATATTATTTCTGAACAGTTGTGACAGTTCATGGGTGAATGAATAGTAGCTGGACAAAAGAGGAACCCACTGTAAGTCAAATATTTGGATAATCTGTCGCTCTCCTCCTGAATTTAACAAAATGCTTGCAAAGTTCTGTCACTGTTTCGTCAAAAAAAAAGTTCTGTCACTGCATTTTTGCATGATTCTGCCACTGCCGTTGTTTGTGGATTTCAAACTTTATCTCTGAGAAGGGTTCTTCCAGAGACCAACTAGAGAAAAGTGTGTGAATCAATTGACTTTGGGGAGAAGCATGCATACAAGAATATTTGCGTGGGTTCCCTTGTGACGCAAGTCTTCATTCAAAATTGCAAATGGAGAACCATAACTATTCCACCAGAAAGCCACTTGTGAGTCGGTGAGATAAAAGATGCATGAAGCCCTCAAAATTTATTCTGTTCCTATGGACCATGCTGGCGTATGGAAACATTTGCAGATACGAGCTACAAAACACAAGCCACCAACTTTTGCATTCATATACAGATATTCCTCCTCTTCTATATATAGACGTAGAGTCAGGAGATGTTTATGCTGATGCTTATGCTGATTTGTTGTGAGAGGAAAACACAGTTTGTTCACTTAAAAGTATTGCTAAAGACCTAAAGCAGTTCAAGCGAACATAATACTGTACGTTCTACAAGGAATCATATACTGAAACCAAACTCAACCAAAACTCACAGAAGTCAACACATGTATGCATAAAGCTTGGTCAGAAACATGTACCAACGCCAACACGGTTTTGACCACATATATATCTCCATACACGCAAGACACACGAAGCAGAAGTGGTATACTATTCCAATTTTCAATAACACATTTTGGATATATATTGTGCCTTCCAATCTGTGATGCTTTCTAACAAATAAAATTATGATAATATAATTATTATGTACGACATTCTTAGCTGTATATATGACGTGTGTGTTGTGGTGACCAGAGCTGTACATAGCTGACAGCCTGACACTAGCATATAGGCTCTACATATATATCCACCAGCACCCTAGCCAGTGAGGCCGCTAGCATCGAATGTGTTCTTCCACTACTTCACGAGGTAGGTCAACTGCTGAGTAGAGCAGTACTTAAACATATCATCACGCTAAGCATTAGATAAGTTATTGTTAATGTGTCTAGCTGTCATCTCAAAGAAGATTCATGTACTGGTCTCCCACTCAACAATATCATGGAGACCTTTCTGTGACAAGATTCACATATTCGATCTTCTCTTTTTCTCTGGTGTGGGGTTATTTGATTGCTGAATTTTCTGTCGGTACGCCTTTTTCTTGGTGTCATTTTCATAACTGGCTATGGTCACCCTCTGTTCTCATTACACAAGAACAATTCAGTATGGATGGTCACTTGCTTTTGTTAAAAGTTTGGACCACACAAATATCATTGTGTGTATTTCTAACAGTACGTACATAGCTAGTAGAGACAACAACAGTACGATTTGATTTGATAGAATGAAATAGTAGTATCAGTCATAATTGTTGATAAATGATGCAGTCTTAGGGCATATATGATTTAGCAAAAAAATGTTACTAAAGAAACCTTAATATATATGTTGGGGCCTGGTTAGTTGCTCACTATTGATGAGCCAAAATAAAAAAAGATAATGATCCGCAGTACTGCTTCTACAGGCAATAAATTATATATTGCAATCTGGATAGTTAATAACACTGGTGAGATAGAACTCGATCTGTCGCTTTCGTTCCATCGTATTACAGGTTTGCTCGTCAATAATATATGTATGAAACGTACACTATTTATACATAGTGCTGAGATCTTTTTTTTTTGGCTAGCTTTCTCAATTGAATGTAGCAGTAATGTTTTATGGATGAAACGTACACTATTTTTCTGAGAAGCAAGAATGACTTTTGTGGAGCCTACATTTTTCAAGGAAGAATGACGGCCAAGCAGCAAATGTGGCGTAGAGATACTACCGAGGGTGAGAGGGGGTACTGGTGGACTAGCTATATAACGGTGCCAGGTCCTACCTTCTCTCCTCTTCCTTTCTTTCCCCTTTGCCTATACAGGGTGCAGCCAACTTTAGCTTTTCTCTCTCTCTCTCCCCTCTTCTCTCTTTCCTAGTTCCTACCCCCTTCTCTGCAAGTTAGAGAGATCAGGCCAGGCAGCTGTAGCTAGGCTAGCTAGCTAGCTAGGGTTGGTGCTTGGAGGGAGAGAGGTAGCCTTTCCTCCCTTGCATATCAAGCTGCCTTGAAATCAGAGACCTCGCCTTTCTGACCCCCAAACAGTTCGGCGGATAGTGGATACTGCCGGAGGTATGGACAGATCAAGGAGGGTAGCTAGGGGTGCAGAAAGAGAGAGGATCAGCTACTAGCTCTAGCCAGAAGAGGAACAAGGAGGAGATCAGGGGCTTGGATATATACATAGCGAGTGAGGAGGGCCGGCCGAGGATACTGCTGTACAGATATGTCTCAGGCTATGTCCGGCGCCGGCGCGGGTGGTCCGGGGCAGTTCGGCGACACGACCTTCACCAAGGTGTTCGTGGGGGGCCTTGCGTGGGAGACGCACAAGGAGGGCATGCGGGCCTACTTCCAGCAGTTCGGCGACATCCTTGAGGCCGTCGTCATCACCGACAAGAACACCGGCAGATCCAAGGGATACGGATTTGTGAGTTCCAAACACTTCCACTTTTTTTTTCTCTTCATTCAGAACCATCCTATATAATTTCCTGGTTTGTTAACATATGGTTTACTATTTCTTCTCTAATCCTAACCTTTAATTTTTAAGTTCTTCGTTAATTTTGTATATCCTCATCAATTCAGTTGAATAACCAAAGAGTTAGTTAATTAGTGTCCAATAATTAACAAGTTGCACACATGAACCATTGAACTGATCAAGAGCTTAATATATACGGTATTGAAATAGTTGTTGATGGTTCTAAGCTTGTATAATTGAAGGTAACTTTCCGTGAGCCAGAGGCGGCTCTAAGAGCTTGCATCGATCCGTACCCGGTGATTGATGGAAGGAGGGCCAACTGCAATCTTGCCTATCTCGGGGTCAACAAGTCCAAGACAGCACTGCCGCCGCCGTATCTGCAACCATATGGTAATTATATTGTTCATTGGATTAATTTATCTTCACTCTTTAGCGAAGAAACTAATAAATCGTTTCATCAACAGATTAATTAATGTTCATCAAAAGAATTTCTAAGTAATATAAAGCCTGATTGAGCTTCTTAATTCATGCCAGATATATATACTGTTGACTCTTTGCTCATTAATAAGGACAATTGATATATACATGCATCATGTAGTTCAAAGGCTAAGGCTTTTGCCTTTGCATCTCTTTGCATCATTTTATGCTGATGTATATATGCCTTGCGCATAAACTACGTTGCTACTGCTAATTAAGCTTTGTTTTCTATAGCTTCTTGCATTAGTGCTGCCTTAAACTAATCAAGACAATATTTCAGGCACTGCACTTTTAGAATCAAATCAAATATTGTCTGAAGCAGGGAATGCATGATGCCTTTTTGTTTAGAACGAATCAACTGAATAACTAACTAGTAATAATTAGTTAAAGTATATATATATATATATATATATATTGGGTATATGATGTGGTGCTAGCTATTTTGCAAGATCAATTATATTAATGTTGCATTGCATATATATCTTCCATTAAAGGCAAGATGCTATGCAGAAGTATATATGTATCGTGCAAATAAAAAGGGTCAAAACAAAGAACCTAGTATCCAGGTATAGTTTTCCCGACAGTATTTCCCCAAGATGAAAAAAGTTGCATCACCTCCAGCTTTCTGCAAAGCGCTAAAAGCAAGCGTGGTTAGTTATTCTTGGGGGTCGTTCCTTCCAGGCTAGCCTGCCTTGCTAGTTGCTTCTTCGAACCCTGCAGGCACAGCTGCATGCAGCTGTATTCGTCAGTGTGCTTTGATGTCCTTGTCCTCTACAAAATTATCTTCTTTCCGTACACCCTTCTCTAACTAACTAACTAACCAACCATAGAACGTACTGCATCTGCTGCGAGTACAAATCTTTCTTACAGCGTGTTTAGTTTCACCCCAACTTCCAAAAAGTTGCTACAATACCTATCACATCGAATGTTTGTGGCCCATGCATGGAGCATTAAATATAGACGAAAAGATAAACTAATTGCACAGTTTGGTGGGAAATTACGAGACGAACGTTTTGAGCCTAATTAGTCCATATTTGAACATTATTTGCCAAATAAAAACGAACGTGCTACAGTAGCCCTAAAATCCAAATTCCTACAACTAAACAAGGGCTTA